TATATTTTGAATAGGTGGAAGAACTACCTCTCTGTTATTGAATGTACAGAGTGTCAGTGACGTTAGGCAGATAGAAATACATACACCTGAGCCATTAGTACCTGACACTAGCCCTTTTTGAGGTTGAAATTGCTATTGCAAAATTGAAAAGGTATACATCGCCAAGTAGTGATCATATTCTGGCAGAACTTATTCAAGCAGGATGTGAAATATTATGTTCTAAGCTAATTAACTCTATTTGGAATAAGCTAAAATTGCCTGCTTAGTGGAAAAATCTATTATTGCACCAGTTCACAAGATGGGTGTTAAAACCGACTGTAAATTTTTGCGAGGTATCACTGCTATCAACTTCATAGAACAATTTCATCCAATATTCTTCTGTCAAATCTAAGTTCATACATAGATGAAATTATTGGGGATCATCAGTGTGGGTTTCGACGTAACAGATAAACTACTGATTGGATCTTCTGCATTCATCAGATACTGGAGAAAGAATGGGAGTACAATGAGAGAGAATATCAGTTATTCATAGACTTCAAGAAAGCCTGTGATTCAGTTAGGAGGGAAGTATTGTACAATACCATTATAGAGTGCATGATACCCATGAAACTAGTTAAGCTGATTAGAATGTGTTTAGTTAGTTATTTAGAGAGGGTGGGTTTCCCCATGCACCGCGACCAGTTTGATCTATTGTGCTTCCCTCTATGATATTCTACCAGTCTCTATACCCTACCGATAAATGGTGTGTACCATCAGTACCACCGAGCAAGCGAGTTTGGCCACTTGCTTAGCGGTGTCTATAATGCTTCCCCCATCTATCAGAGGCCTTAGAGACTATTGTTGGGCGGGAAACGTTCTGGAATTTGGCTCGGTGATCCCCTTTGGGGATATGAGGTTCTTTTACGTGCCGTAAAGTTACGACACGGGACACACAGCTTAAGTCCCTCCCGGAGGACTTGTTACCTGAATTTTTCCGCCCTTTAAAAATTTGACGACTTCCGCCGGGTATTTGAACCCACATACCACGAGTCATGAGGTGGGAACGTTACCTCTAGACTACAGAGGCCGCTTTAGAATGTGTTTAAACGAAACATATATTAAAGTCTGTATAGGTAAACATTCGTCTGATAAATTTCCTATCCTGAATGGTCTAAAACAATGAGATGCTTTATCTCCACTCCTTTTCAACTTTGCTTCAGAATATGCCATTAGGAAGGTTCAGGGAGACCAGGAGGGACTGAAATTAAACGGGACACATCAGCTGTTGGCCTATGCCAATGATGTGAATCTACTGGGTGATAATGTAGATACCATAAAGAAAAACACACAAACTTTAATTGATGCAAGTAAAGAGGTTGGTCTAGAAGAAAACACAGAGAAAACCAAGTATGTTTGCTGTCTCGTCACCAAAATGCAGGGCAAAATCATGACATAAATATAGGAAACAGATGTTTTGAAAATGTGGCACAGTTCAGATATTTGCGAATGACGATAACAAATCAAAACCTGATTAAGGAGGAAATTAAGAGGAGATTGAACTCAGGTAATGCTTGCTACTATTCAGTCCAGAACCTTTTGTCTTCTCGTCTGCTGTCCCAAAAACATAAAAATTAGAATATACAAAACTATAATTTTGCCTGTGGTTCTCTATGGGTGTGAAACTTTGTCTCTGACATTGAGGAACATTGACTAAAGGGTGTTTGAGCACAGGGTGTTGAGGAGAATTTGGACTGAAGAGAGATGCAGTGACATGTGGTTTGAGAAAACTGCACAATGAGGAGCTTCATAACTTGTACTCTTCTCCAAGTATAATTAGAATGATCAAGTCAAGGAGGATGAGATGAGCAGGGCATGTAGCACTAATGGGAGAGACGAGGAATACATATAGGATATTGGTGGGAAAGCCAGAAGGAAAGAGACTACTGGGAAGACCAAGGCATAAGTGGGTGGACAATATTACAATGGATCTTAAAGAGATATGGGATGGGATGGTATGGATTAGATTGATCTGGCTCAGGATAGGGACCAGTGGAGGGCTCTTGTGAACACGGTAATGAACCTTCAGGTTCTATAAAATGCTGGGAAATTCTTGAGTAGCTGCAGAATTGGCAGCTTCTCCAGAAGGGCTCAGCTCCATGAGTAAGTAAGTAATTATATATTGTGCTATCTGATGTACTGCTTTGGGTTACCTACTCACCCAATTATTTTTCTTCTATGATTTATCAACTTTGAGCATTGTCCTATAATGCACAGGGAAATCTAGAAGACTAATGATTTTAACACACGTTTCATTCATTCATCAGTAATCTGTCAGACGACAGGTCCACAGTCTCTTCCAAAACAGTTCCTCCGCTTAATGTGATCTTCGAGACTATCCAGAACATAATGAACAGAAATATGAAGTGCTATATTACAGTTGAATCTGGAACAATATGCATCACATGAACTGGAAATACACATTAAAGAAAAAAAAAAAGGATTAAACATGAGTTGTAATCAGG